TAGGTCCCACACATACATAGGTGTATAAAGGTGAAGGACATTTAGGTCCCACACATACATAGGTATATAAAGGTGAAGGACATTTAGGTCCCACACATACATAGGTATTTAAAGGTGAAGGACATTTAGGTCCCACACATACATAGGTGTATAAAGGTGAAGGACATTTAGGTCCCACACATACATAGGTATATAAAGGTGAAGGACATTTAGGTCCCACACATACATAGGTATATAAAGGTGAAGGACATTTAGGTCCCACACATACATAGGTGTATAAAGGTGAAGGACATTTAGGTCCCACACATACATAGGTGTATAAAGGTGAAGGACATTTAGGTCCCACACATACATAGGTATATAAAGGTGAAGGACATTTAGGTCCCACATATACATAGGTGTATAAAGAAGAAGGACATTTAGGTCCCACATATACATAGGTATAACAAGAGGCTCATGGACCTAAATGGTCATCTGACACAAAAACTTAGAGCAGGAATATGGCTTATTTTTCAACATTGAATAAAATCTTACTGAGAAGCTGTTTTCCATAATGCAGATGATAGTTTTGGTGAGGAGTAAGTAACTGTTACAAATGTTACCTATTTTTTGACAGTAAAGTTTAAACTCAATCACATCAGTGAAACAGTTTGAAATACATTTTTAGTTTTGCATAGGGAAATCATGATTGCGCAATCATGTTACAAAATGACCTCCCTGGCTTCCGTATTGAAGTTTTGACAAGGTTGAAAAATAACAAAACTTTGTTGGCTACCTTTCCTTAACATTCCCACCAATTATTAGCTCAATGGCACCAGTGAAACTGTAAAAGAAGTTCAAAATATGTTTTTCAAGATGGCAGCTATCTTGGATTTCAGACATACCTCAAGAAATAAGAACACTTGGTCATGACCATAAGTTAGACATTAAATTTGAACTCAATCCCACCAGTGAAACTTACGAAGTTTGGAATATGTGTTGCACAGGAAAATTATGACTGTGCAATAATGTTACAAAATGGCCTTCCTGGCTCCTGTATCAAAGTTTTGACGAGGTTGAAAAATGGTAACACTTTGTTGGCTACCTTTCCTTCACATTCCCACCAATTTTTAGTTCAATGGCACTAGTAGAACTTGAGAAGAAGTTTACAATATATTTTTCAAGATGGTGGCCATCTTGGATTTCAGACATACCCAAAAAATAAAAACATGTCAGGGCTATCTCTGGATCATTTCATGCAAGTTTAAACTCAATCCCATTGGTGGAACTTGAGAAGAAATGTGAAATGTCAAAAGTTCATGCATGGCCGACGGTGGATGCACACGGCAGACAATGCAAGCGAAGCATGAGGAATAAAGGTCATCATGACCTAAATAGGTACAGGTCATTTATATAATTAGGTCCCAAACATACATAGGTACCTAAAGGTAAAGGTCATTAGCAGATAACAGAAGACAAATATACTTGTGGTTGTAAATGTATTTGTAACATAACTTAACTACATGTAGTCCAAGGATATATTACTCATTCAAGTAAATTTTTAACACAGATTTCTTCGGTCTTTTTTTAATTTTTATTTGAAGTTCACTCATTTGTCTGAAATACTATTATTACATTCCACTTGTACTTCAGACTCCCAAAAAATGTTGATATTCTGTAAACTCACAAAATATCTTTGATATGAACAGGAAACCATCAACCTGTATGTCTGTCATTATAAGATACGTTATATATAAACGGACCACAATGAAAATAATCTGAGCATCATCACAAGTTTTCAGTTTTATTATTCATAGGTTTACCCTTTTAGAGGATTCAAAATATCACTAGTCTGATTTGTTATTCAACTAAACTGATATCAGTACCAGTCAATAATTCATGTCACAAAATGATGCAACTCAGGCACTAACATTTAATAGTTTAGAAGAAAGCTTGCAGTGGAAGATGTTGAAAATGTCAACAGTCTACAGACAGAATACAACAACATATCAGCTAAAATGGAGAAAAAAAAACAATGAAAAGGATGAAAACAGGAAAAAAAAAGCATTTTTTGCTTGATAAGATCTTGCATTATCATTACAGCTAGGGCCACACAGACATGAAAAGGTGAGATCCATTATTGATAAGGCATGCTGGAGGATCTTTACAAAGTGTCACCAAGACATCATAACCTGGACATGGTCGTTCTGAAAGCATGCAGCTTGAACGATAAAATGATGACTGACACTTTCGCTGGAGTTTTATCGAGTTTTCACTTGACAAAGAAACATGACAATATTTCTGTTAATATTGATTTCCTATCAAAGCACCTGTCACCAGATCAATAACTATACACATATTGTGGACTATGAAGACATTACAATAAGCCAGGAAGGGATATAAGATGAGGGAGTACAAAGCTTCCCAGCTGTCAAACAACACTTGTGAGAGCTCATGTGTTTTGTTTCTGGTTGTGATGTAGACTTGAGAAAAACACATATCTCTGTGTACCAATCTTTTAATATCACTATACTATTGTTATGTTTTTTTAAATCACAGTCTATCAGCTAAAACAAATTCTAAAATAATTGTTAAGTAACTCTTCTTTTATTGGATAATTTAATGATCTAATCCTCAATATACTCAAGAATTCTGACCCTAACCCAAAGATGGCGACAATCTTTCCCTTTGTGACAGATGATTGACTTGAAATTGACACTGGAGAAATTCAATGTAACGACATGCTAAAATAAGTGACAAAATATGAATTGGAGAGTATGATGATGAGAATCTTTGTGGCATAATCTGATTGACGTTTCTCCACTTCAACTCAGTTTGTCGGAACGGTTGATAAAGACAACACACTGTGCCTGTGATATTCTCAATCCAGGGATCAACTTCAGTTATAATATCACAATGAAATAAAATCATGTTACATGGTATTGTCTCCAACCTTCAAAACATAAATCCCAATCTCTATTTGAGAGAAAGACACTGACAACTTCAGGTGAGTCTGCCGTTATGATCTCTTGTCAATGTCTCTCCAAGATATCGGTTTGTTTATTGATCTACTTTCGTGAACAAATACCTTTACCATTTAGAAATAGAAATGACAAATTTCAGGTATGTACACCAGGAATCAATATATAAGCAACATGGTAGACAGATACTTCAAGCAGAGAAACATATTAAGTCTTTTCATATGCCTCGACCTACCTCTGACCCGAATCTATCAACAACTTTACTGGAGAGTGGGCAGAGCTTCTACATCATCAATAATTGAAAGGAGAGTTTTGATTGGCTTAGAGGGACTGTTGTGAAAAAATGTACAGGTCTTGGTTTTTGTTTAATTTCGCTGCAAATCATAGCATTATCCCACATACCCAGCTGTTGGTGTAGAACTGGCATAACAATTTGTGACATCACTCAATTATGTACAGCAATTATCACCTGAAAGCACTAGTGCAAAATGTAACACCTTTTGTCAATTTTCAATTAAATTTCCTTGCATCTCCTCAACTTTAACATTCACTATATAATGTGTGTGGCACCCTGTGGTACAAGTGATTGTTTGTGTTTATTATATTTGTGTTCATTTGTGTCTCTTACTTTCAATATGTCTGGCGTACATTTCTAGTAGGCCCGGAATAGGCATATTAATGTTGGTTACATATTGTACATGTTCTGGACAATGACTGACCACTTGACCTGTAACATGTACTGTCTAATTCTTTCTTCCTTTTCTTGCCTAACCTTTCTTTCCTTTCTCACTTCTGATTTTGGGCTTGAACCGACAAGATGTTTTTTTGATAATCCGTATTACTTTGATGTCCATCTTGCCATACACAGGGTAAGTCTTTGATTTATATTGCAAATTGTTTATGTCTATACAAATTATTGATAAAGATAATTTATTTATCTATTTCAAAGCAGCAATATGATCATTTTAGATTTATTTTCTATTTTCACCTGATCGATCTGCATGAGAGAAATATCTTTAATAGTACATTATGTTATCGTCTATTTCTGTTTAGGTCTAAGTCATTTATGTCCCATGTAAGTATGATTAATGTGTAGTATATTTGTAATAAGCTATATAGTGGAGTTAATATTTATTTTTGTATCTGTACTACAGAGTAAATATGTATTGTCAGTAACGTGAGTATGAATGTCACTTTGTGTTGTTTTACCATGTATTGTACTTATGTTATTGTTTTAGGGATCTCTATGTTTCGTCTTTGTAAATACATGTAGATGTATGGAAAGACATTGTACTTCGTGTGGTTGGTTGTTCAGATGGAGATAACCCTTAACCCCCCGACTCTGCTACATACATACATATATATTTATGTATATACATCAACTTAATAGTAAGAGTTCACATCTTGATGTAGATCATGTATGTTTGACTGCTGATATTTGAATAGAGCTTGGTATTGTCCATGAACAAAATCATGCAACATTCTATAAGCTCTTAGTTAACACAAGAAGTCACCAGAAATCGAACAATTTGGATCTGAATAATGAAAATGTCCTCAATAACAAAAGGCACAACTAGGGCACTAACCTGATATATACAGAAAGCTTTGTGGAATTGAGAGAAATAGTTTCAAAGTTAAAGCACAAAAAGGAAAGTTAACACTAATTTTGTGTTTCTGGATTATGTTTCCATAGTAATACAAAAAATATTTTTAAAAAATGAAATGTCACAAGCAAAAGGCACAACTATGGCACTAACTTAATATATAGAGCAAGTTTTGTGAAGTTGAGTTGAAGAGTTTAGTTATAGCCAGAAATCCCTCAGTTGGATGCATGGATGGTCAGAGCCTGAATTAATGTTCAACACTTTTACATTTGTTAAATTTTAGAAAGGGGATAGCACCCTTATTCTTATGCATATACTTGAGATTAGATCATGAATTTTGCCATTTTAACACTACGCAAACCAAAATTTCAGAACATGCATCAAAATCAGCATACTATCCCCTAATTATTGATAAATCACTAAAAATAATCATTACCTATTGGTTGGCCCTCCAGGAACTTCACCTTGCCCAGTTGTTCCCCTTTGACAGCCCGGAGGTTGTTGAGCATGTAGTGGATGATACTTTGGCGTTCCTGAGTTGTAAAGAACTCTTCTTCATTCTCTACACCAGCAAAGCAGTCTTGGTCCTCAAAAGTGAATTCTTTCATACCCCCTCCATAGTCCTCTTTAAGTGGCTTACACACACTCACATCCTCAGCTCCCCGCAGTAAGCTACAACATGACAGCCCAGCTGATGACCAGTGATTTATTTTCCACCATATAGAATCACATGCAGTAAATATAGGTAACATTTTCTGTATATAACATTCAATATTATCCATTATAATATTTCTGTAAGCTTGTTCCCTATATCAAATTCAGCTCAACCTAAAAGGCATTCTTGGGGTTTATGCATTTCATGGGTACTGACTAAATCTATAAACACATATGTCCACAAAATCATACAAAATATCCCAGAGACATCTTTGTGCCCACCATTGTTTGATCATTATTTGTTCTTTGAAAGTTGGATCTTTTCCCTTCTTTCCTCTTCTTTTTTGTCTGTTTTTGCTCTTGATTATAAGAAATTCCTTTGCAGAAATAGAAATGATAACTTTTACCTGCCAAATCCAAGATGGTCGTCTGGAAGCCATTTTGATTTTTCTGATCAGTCCCAAAATTAAACCAAAAAGACTAAAGGGATCATACTTATTAAATTTCAGAGAGATCCATTCAGTAGTTCTTAAGAAATAGGGATAACAATCGTTACTAGGTGAAATCCAAGATCATTGCCTGTCAGTCATTGTATTTTTTTTCAATCAGGCCCAAAATCAGACAGGCACAAAAAAGGACCAAGAGGAATCTATACATGAAATTTGAGAAAGATTTAAGCAGTATTTCTCAAGAAATAGTGATACAAACTTACAAAGTCAAAATCCAAGATGGCTGCTTATTGGCCATTTTCTTTTTCTGATCAGTACCAAAAGCAAACAGTCACAATTAGGGATCAAGGGAAACATACTAACAAAATTTGAGAAAGATGCACACTGTAGCAATAACAAACTATCGAAGTCAAAATTCAAGATGGCCACCTGTAAAGACAGTTAGTTAGCCAGGTCACACACGAAGACAGTTAGTCAGCCAGGTCACACACGAAGACAGTAAGTTAGCCAGGTCACAAAGACAGAAAGAGAGGAAGTTAGCCATGTCACAAAGACAGAAAGACAGGAAGTTAACCTTGTCACACAGACAGAAAGACAGGAAGTTAACCTTGTCACACAGACAAATGGACATAAATATGAAATTATCCAGGTCACAGAGACAGAAAGTCAGAAATATGAATCTAGCCAAGTCACACACAGAGAAGAACAGACATACAAAGTTAGCGAGGTCAAACAGGCAGAATTGAAATATGAAGTTAGCTAGGTTACACAGACAGAAAATCAGAAACCATTTGAAATATAATATATGAAATATAACGTCAGAGTTAAGGTTAATCAGATCAAAAAGACAAATAAAGGACACACATAAGTATTTAGCTAGATAACATGACATAAGGACAGAAATGTGAGGTCAGCCAGATCATAAAGACAGGACAGACACATATTAGCCAGATCATAAAGACACTTAAATGTGAGATTGCCTGGTTAACAATTAGTTGAATACAGTTATAAGATGTGAATTACCTTTCATATGTAGCAGTAAGATGGAACACAGCTTCTTTTGTGTTGCTGTGGTGGCGTACATGAACTATGACCTCTGGTGACCTTGACCGGAGTCTGTCAAGGAGCCACATGAGTGTGGCAGTGTCAGTGTCACGTGGGAAGGACAGGATAATGTCGCAGTCCTGGGTTGGCACTGGATTCTGAAGAAGCTGGGTCGAAGCAACAAGGCGACCACTTGTCTTGAAAATCTTCTTCCCGAAAAGTTTGTATGCTATGATAAATAAGAAGAAAGATGTGTATAATATTGAGGATGTTTTATATTATCTAAAAATATATTTCATGAGTATGTCAGAATATCTATATTATTCCTGAGTGCAAACCACAACTGAAAAATATAGATATATTCTGTCACAAGAGTGAATTATATGATATTTAACAGCAAACCATCAGGTTTTTCATTACACTGTAAAAATACACATTCCAAACATGACTAGAGCAACGTTTAAAAAGTTTTACATCTACTTTGACATCAGATAGTCTGAGGTTACGATTGACAAAAAGATGATGCCACTCTGAATAGACTACTTTATATTGTATTCTACAATTTTATGCTGTTATCTGGTAGCAATTGCTTACAGAACTTTTCTATGTATAAAATTAGAGAAAACCAGCAATGTACACAGGAACTATTTACAGAAAATCAACTTATTCAACATATGCTTCATTTGCCTTTGCACAGGAAAATTGGCAACTTTCAATGCAGTGAATAGAAAGCATCCCTCTGGTTGGTAGCATCAGTGGAAAAGTTATATCATCATTCCTGATGATATAAGATTTCTTATATCATCGCTGCAGTGGTGATAGACAGTTTTTATCAAATTGATAAATTCCAATATTTCTCTGGCAAAAATGTAATAAATAGTGTTACATGTGCTACATCAAACACATTTTAGTACAAGATTGTGAGATACATATCTAGGGATACTGGCTTGAGTATTCTCACTTCTGTACTTCCTTAAACCTAAAGCAAATCATATATCTTAAAACACATCATATAACTTAAAATACATCATATCTCTTGATTTTTTCAATATATCTGGTCACAAACTCAATACAACTTTAAAACTCACCAACGCAGTCATCGTCTTCAAAAATTCCAGATTCCATTTTTAGAATTACTTGAATTACAGTGTTACAGAGCTGTAATCCTGCCACTACCAATCATCTGACTTCTTCAACACTACAGTAACCACTAACACCACAGTCAAACTACTATTGTCTACACCACACACGTCATCTCTCATAATGTCACTGTGACAGGTCTGTAGCAGCACCACCACTTCTGTTGGACCAGTAAAAACCATCTGTAACACTGTATCTGTGGTGACAAAAGATCTGCTGTTGTCAGACCACAAGTTGGAGTAGATGACAGTGAATAAATTTATTCATGTGCTGGACATGTACAGTCAATAACAGCAACACACAGGAACCACAGTGCCTCCAAATCCATCACCATCAAACAAAAAATTGTCCTTTACCTTGAAGCATTGCCATTAATGAGATAAAGTGTTAACACAGTAAATGTCGCTAATTCCCTTTAATAGCCCTGATAGGGAAGTTAACCTCCGACCAAATGTTACAATGCCTGAAACACTTGAAAGTAGTCACAAAATATCATAACGAGGACAGACAGGCAGCACATCATGTCAGCAGTGTCAATGTGTCACAGTACTTGTATTGATTTCATTGTTGTATAAATATGCCATCCTGTCATAACTTCTCACACAAATTTTTCAAGAAGTACATTGATATAATTTCAAAATGAGAGACTTCATTTGGGCTTTAATTCTGACACACAGATATCACATTACCTTGACTAACAACTTTTTGCATAGGATGACCTTGTCCATTGTCTAATTGTTCTGGTCTGATTTCTGGTGGCACTGACCACTAGAGAATGACCTCTGATGTAGTTTCTGAGAAAGCAATTGAATTCACCAGCATTTGTCTGATCCAGTAATAAAATGACATTGTATAATTTCTAAAAAATCACTTCCAACAAATAATCTTATAGAACCTCCAGTCAATAAAGGACAGTAATGTGTAATTTTAGCATCCTATTTTATAACTAGATTGAATCACAAGTGAAGATACAACTTTTTCTTCTCTACGTGTCACCATGGCAAAACATCCTCTTCCGACTAGCTTGCCTTCAGACTTACAAGCCAGGTGTAAATACAAGTCAGAAACATTGAAAATTCTATCTAGGCGTATTTTTTTCCTCTTCCAACTGAAACTGATCATGGTAATGTTGCTGACAATAACCACGCTGACTGTTGGCCTCATCAGAGTAAATTGCTAAAATCCAGCCCTTTGACCAATTTCCAGAGTGTCCTTACAACTACTGCCTACACAAGCAATAAGTGCATGTCTGGTAATAAGCACACCCAAAAAATATGCTTCTGTTCAGTTAAACATCAACCAACACCTTTTTTGTTATCCTTTTATGATAAACCCACCCCTGACTTAGTGTAAGATATTAAGGCTGTTTGCCCACAGGGGGCAAAGTTTAAAAGACATACTGCAGCATATGGAGAGGAAACTAATCATGACCTGTGGCCAATTAACATTACTGCAATAAGTTCAACTGAAATTCTAAACAAGAGGCTTAGCGGCCTTGACAGTCACCTGAAATAAGCAACATTGCATATAAAGGTTAAAGGATAGTTATCAAGTGCCATGAAACAGAAATTGTGACACTAAATATAGGCAGTGTTAATACATGCATTCCATAAAAACTGTCATCCTATACTGATGATTCTTATAAAGTTATTTCCAGTGGGAAATAACCAACATTACCATTTTTCTATGAAAATTAGAGTAAAGACTAAAAATTATTCTTCCCCAGGAAGATATGAGAAACTCATTTTGATAAATAAAGCACCTTAAGATGCTTCCATTCATAAAGAGTATTTAATTCTACCATATCTGGGTGCAGAGAAGAAGATTTTTGAATTAAATCAATCTGACCCCCTTTTGGCCCCACCCATCAGCCCCTGGGGGTTAGTCAGGATCAAAATGGGCAAGCTGTCATCCTTCATCATCATTCTAACCAATGGAAATTAAACAAATTATGTTTGAAAAAACTAGTTTTCCTATATAAATTATTGTTAACTTTACCCTCTGCCCACAGGGAAATGTGAGACCCTTAAGCCATGAAATTCATAATTTTGGTTAAGCACTTTAAGATACTTCCATTCATCAAGAGTATTTGATTATACCATATCTGGGTGTTGAGAAGAAGATTTTTGAAATCTGGGTCAATTTTACTATTTTTGGCCCCACTCCTCAGGCCCCTGGGAGAGGTGGGGACTGCATAATTCATAATTTTGGTTCATCTTTCAGGACAGGGAAGGTTTCTGCAAAATTTCATTAAAATCAGATCTGGGTTTTTTTTAGAAGAAGTCGAAAGTGTTAAATTGTTTATGGATGCATAACACCGAATGAAGGGTATTAGAATATAAAAATCCATCAACTAAAATTATAAAGGCATGGGGACTTCCAAACTAAACAACGGATTTAACTTATAGTTCTAACAACAACAAAATAGAGCAAGCTGATTTTTTACCAACTGTATGTTAATAATTAAAAACAGGTTTCTGTAATGCATTCAAAGGAAAATGAATTACACAATATATACAACAACCTTGGTTCATTATAAGACAAACAGATCCCATCAAAAGGTACAATGAGCTGGCATCCACTGGCATTGATGGCACAAACAGAGGATGAAGCAACTTTCATCTTGAAAATTATATAAATATTTAGGTGTTGTAATTATTCTGGTAGGAAAACCCTATTATGCTGAATCTACCTAGGTATTTATAGAACTGTACCTGTCTACTATAGTTTTAGTACCAGAAAAAGGAATCAGAATTCCTGGACTCTATTGTATCCTGTATAACTTTCTGTCTGTATTCAGGAATACTGCTATCACAGAGAGGAGCTTCATTTACTATTGTCTAATCCAAATATTTTTATCTTAAGTCTATTTCATTCAGAAAGTTTGTGACAATCAGTGTGGCATGTTTACAGTCAGTGAAACTTCAGAGACACACTTTTTCAAGTTTCAGTTTATATTCAGCCTTTACACAAATGATCATTCCCTCCCTTGTCAACCCTCTTCACTATCTACAGACAAATGACCATTCCCTCGTCAATCCTCTTCACTATCTACAGACAAAATGACCATTCCCTCCCTGTCAACCCTAGTTCACACAAATTCATCATTAAAATGCTTGATAATGTTTCATAAATATGTTACTTCTTTTAAACATTTTGTTAGACACTTCATTACTAGACTTAAACATCAAAACCTCTGACATACAAACCTAGAGACATACCAACCTAGAGACATACAAACCTACAGACATACCAACCTACAGACATACAAACCAACAAACCTACAAACCAACAGACATACAAACTTTGGACATGCAATTCTAGACACACAAATTTAAAGACACACATACCATCCTATCGCCAAGCTATAGCTAAAGACACTCCAACCTGTAGACATACAAATCTACAGTGTAATACAAACCTACAGACCTACTGATATAACCTAGACACAAACCTACAATACTCTCCTTCCCACAGTCTATAAACCTGTACAATAATTTCCACAATAGTTTACACCAGGGACAGAATTGCCATCAGCACTAAAACATGTTGATCACAAGGATTATAATACAATGAGGTATAATGAGTCATGGTCTAAAACATATTACATAGTCACACTTGTATTATCAAACTCATCAACTAAAGCATTTGTTTCAGATACCTGGTAATGTATTACTTCAATTATGTATAACTTGATGCCATTGTACACTGGTCTTGTTACATCAAAGATGTCCCCTCAATCCTGGTCTCAATTCTATACTCTATACCTACAAACCTTATTCCATTACACGACATACAGCCTCCTAACCCTCAGGAATACTACCTTTTTTTGTTCGTCAAATTTGTCTAGATTAATGCCTAGCTCAATGTTAACAACATTGCGTCAACAATTTGCATGTCGCATCAGACAACACACACTATAGCTATATGTCAATCATTAAAATGATCCTAATTTTCAGGAAACTCTTCCAGTAAACAGACATACAAGGAAACATATTTCTATTGAATGATGGTCAGATTGTCTCTGTATTTATTCTTAGGAACATCATTCTATCTATGTTGCCCGTTCATATTTACAATAAATACAAT